TGAGAACCCTTTCAGGAAATAAATTCTTCCTCACATCCCATCTCAACTGCCCTGGGCACAACTGGAGGCCATTTCCTCTTGTCCTGTCACTTGTTCCTTGGTTGAACAGACCCACCCCCACCTCTCTCCACCCTCCTTTCAGGGAGTTGTAGAGAGCGAGAAGGTCTCCCCTCAGCCTCCTTTTCTTGAGACTAAACTGCAGTTCCCTCCGCCACTCCTCATAAGACTTGTTCTCCAGACCCTTCACCAGCTTCTTTGGACACACTCCAGCACTTCAATATCCTTCTTATAGTGAAGGGCTCAAAACTGAACCCAGCACTCGAGGTGCAGCCTCAGCAGTGCAAAACACAGACACTGGAGCTGCTGAAGATGTGCCTGCAGCTCCAGCAGCCTCAGCAGCCCTGCTCAGAGCAGCTCAATTGCTGCTGCACGGGTTCCAGCACGGCCACGCAGGCAGCAGAGGCAGGATCAGTGGGGGTTGGTGCCCAGCACAGCACCAGGGTGGCTGTGGCACCAGCACCCAACATATGGGCTGCACACACCAACACCATGTTCAGAGCAGCCCATCCTGCACGCACCAGCCAGCAGCAAACACAGCACCCACCTGCACCCAAAGCAGCCCCCAGTCCCAAGCATCCCAGACAGGAGTCACCTGCGCTATGACTGAAGCTCCAGGCTGGCTGCAGAGATGATGGGCTGCACATGGCCACCGTCCAAACCTCCTCAGCTCTGCCCCCCAGCCCTGCAAAGCTGCAAGCTCAGACTTCCCAGCCACTTACCTACGTAGTACGGGGTGTAACACGGAGTGGCCAAGGAATTGTGTGTGGTGGTTTCTTTAGCAAAGCCAAAGTCCGTGAGTTTTAGCACAGCGTTGGGCCTTTTGGAGGTGTACAAGAGGTTTTCAGGCTGTGAAAACACGAGGAAGAAGAAGTGAGCAGAAGAGCTGGAGCAGCCTTGGCATTGCCACAGGCCAAGAGGGGCTCAGCACCGCCGGGTGAGTGAGCAGCACGGTACCTTCACGTCCCGGTGCGCGATGTTGATAGAGTGGAGGTACTGGATGGCTTCCCCAATGCTCTTCATTATCTCTGAAGCCTCTGAAGCAGCAAAAAAAACCCCATCAGAAACTTTGATAAGCAAGTTAAAACAAGCACCACTCCCTGGGTTACTCTACAGACCAGAAGCCAAAGAGCTTGGCTGAGGCCAGAGTGGTTTCCCCTGCCCCAGATCCCCCTTCCCAAGCAGGGTCCCCACCAGCACCCATCTCTGGGTCAGGAGCCTGCACCAAACGGGAGAGGAACTCCCAGGAGGAGGGATGGGGCAGGCTCCAGCTGCTCATCCCAATACCCAACTATACAAGGCCCCAGGAGGACTCATTCTGGGGTGGGGGGGAGGTTGACCCAGCCCCCACTACCACCAGGGACCCCAAATTGCAGAGAAACCAGTTAGGAAAGCTGTTCCCCATTGAATACAGGGGTAACAGGCTCAGGGTTTGGGTTGCGAGGACACTTTTCCTGAGCACAGGAGCAGAGGGGATGAGATTCATGAGATCTCAGAGAATCACAGGACTTGGTGCTCATTTTTTGGAAGGGGGGGGTGGGTGTTTCTGAAGGTCATTGAAGCTCCTGCCTGTGCTGGAGTGGGATGGAGAAAGCACAGGGGCAACTCAGAAAACATCCCCTAACCCTGCTCTCAACTGAGCAGGACAAGCAGGGCCACTCTAACCCACATTCCTCATTCCCCAAGAGCAAAACCCTCCTGGGGATTCAAAAGAGCGATTGAGGGAACGAGCTGGACCAGAGACACTCCTATAAATAGCAAGAAATGGCCCAATGACAAAGGCCCAGGTCCCCATGGGTTCCATACCCCGTTCTGTGAAGGCTTGGTCTCCTCTGTCTTGAATTCGGCTGAAGAGCTCCCCACCATCCAAGCTGGAAGAGAAGCAGGAGGCATTAGATGCTGCAGCACCCGTCTCACGCCGACACAAGCGGTACCAAAACCTCTGATGCTCAGTCAGGAGCTGCACAAGCTCAGCAAGAAACAAACCCCTTCTCCAGCCAAGCCCTTGGGTCGGTGCTTCTGGGCATGGGGCATCTCAGAGCCTCCTCCTTCCAGAAATGAGCGGGGCAAAGGCTTTGTGCTGGCAGCAGAGACACCGGGTGTAAGCGGACGTGGTCTCCCCACAGAAAGACATTTACAGTAAAGACAGCAAACGTGGCTCGAAGGTGGTGAGAGCGCTCCCAGCACGCCTGGCCTCATTTAGCTCACAAGGCAACCACCTCCTCAGGGTGCTAACCCCGTGCAGAAGTGCTGAGCAAAGATCACAGCATGGCTGAGGCATCAGCGGCACCGACACGGGCTCACCCATGGGATGAGGGACACAGAGACCAAATCCCACCGCAGCAGAGCAAGCTCTCATGTAAGGTGGTGAAGGACCATGGAAACCTTGGCCTGGCTCCCTCCCCAGGTACCCTAAGGAAAAACTTGTCTCCCAGAGAGATCAGGGGTGAGATCAGGGATAATTCTCCACAAGACAGGGATAACAGTGCTTCCTGTCCCTGCCTTATCTAGCTCAAGCAGAAAGGGTTTCAAGCTTTCCCAGCACAGACAACATCTCCTGCCAGTGCCTTTGATATTCGCTGGACACCTGTGATACAGAGCACACAGCCACTGGGGCCATCGCCACACGGAGCACACGAGGAGACACACCGTGCTCACACCAAAGTCACACGCTGCCTTGTGATGGGTGTTACACCCCGAGCATCCCTGAGACCACAGGGAGCGACCGCAGAGACGCGCTGCAGGGAGCTGCTGTCACCCCAGGGACTCCTTTCCCACCCTTCAGCTGCTGCTTTCTTCCCACACAAGCCAACACGTCGCACAAACCTTCCCCATCCCCAGCTGCCCAGCATCCCGGTGCTGTTCTCAGGAACCTCTTCCCACACAAGAGCTGCTCGGGTGGCTGCTGTGCTGCCCACCCAGTGATATACAAAGGTTTAAATTCTAAGCCTTAAATTAAAGTTGACTTTTGAGTGAACTTCCCAACCTGTACCATAGTAGCATGAAATGCGACCATGAGATTCTTTTCCCGACCTTTATCACATCAGCATGAAAAAAAAGACCATGAGACTTTTCCTTCTACAATCCAAAGCCAGGTGCACAACACCAAAATAGCAGCTTCTTGGACATATCTCAGATCCTGGCCAAATCCAGGATGTGCCCATGTGAAGTGAAACTCACCCACCAGACGTTCCTGTGCCTTTCTGGCTGTGTAATTTGTTTGGTTGTATAAAAGCAGGACCCTCTCGCAGCAAAGATGGAGAGCTCACCTACGAGTGGACACTCCCTAGGACTTCCCAATTGCCAAGGAAATGCTCTCCAGATCCTTTGCTGTGACAGAGCTCCCCAACTGATGCACAGATCTGGATGATGATCAGTATTTGGGCAATTAGTGATGAATCTTTCTTAATCACTGTGCTTTCTCCTATGTCGTAATGATCAGGTGCATCACCCTCTAACTCTGTACCTTGCTGCTGCTTCTTTTTTCCCCTGTTTTAAACTAGAGTAAAATAAGTTTGTTTCTAGTATTAAGCTGGTGTCTGTGTCCTTTTTGCCAGCCCCATCAACTGGCAAAACACCCCAGTGCTGCTCGCCACGCTCCTCACACCCGCTGCCCCACCAGGCGACCTACCGGCTTGCCAGAGGAGAGGTTTTGGCAAGGAAGCTGCATCAAATCACAGCTGCGGTTGGGATGTGGTTTCAATACTTTCCCCTTCATTCCTCCTCCTCCCCAGGTTATATCAAACATCTACCCGAACCAGAGCCGCTCAACTGCTGCTGCAAGAGGTGCAACGGGGCAAAGAGATGCATCGGCTCGGCTCGCGCTGCCCAGAAGATCCCACCGCAGGCTGCTGGGGTGCCAGGAACCCGCTGACTACCCCGACTTTCCATGGCCAAAGCGAGTTTGGTTATGATCGATCTGCAGTGAGAACCACAGGCCTGAAGCCTCCCAACACCGAGTGAGTTCTCAGAATGACTCAGAGCCAGCGCGGCTCCTGCCGTCCCTCCAACGCCAGCGGTGCAGCACCTCTTCCAGGGTCTGCATCCCTACGGCTCCTAGCTGCTTCCCTCAGCACAGCAGCTCCCCAGGGTCCCCAGCACCCCGACAGCTGTGCAGGAAGGTACTCACCCCACTTTTGTCATCACCCCACCACCCCACAAAGCTGTGGTTGCTCCTGTGGGGAGAGCCCACCCACAGTGACACCACATCGGGGACTCACCACTCCATGACGATGAGCAGACACTTCCTCCCCTGGTAGAGGTTCTCGTAGACGTCCATGATGCGGACGATGTGCGCGCACTGTGATGCCCTCCAGTGCAGCTCCACTTCCCTGCGGGCCTTCGGGCAGTCCTGCAGCATCTGCCAGAGAAGCGAGACCCCATCAGCCCTGAGACCCCTGGGAGAGCTGAGCTGCTGGCACAGCACCCACCCGAGAAGATACCGGGGCGAAGGCCGAGCGTGGGTGCTCTCTGCAGGAGGCATTGGTGTCAAGCCGAGCTCCAGGGTGTGCTGTGCAATGCCTCCATCCCCATCTAGTGGGAAGAGCATGAAGCCATTTCCTCTCATAAGCTTCTTGTGTCCCTTCCAAAGCTGGTAGAAGCTTATCCCAGCTGCCTGTCACCTCCCTGCCCTCCGAGATGCCTCCCTGGTGCCACCAACCAACAAGAATTCCCACTGCATTTATCAACAAGCTTCTGCATGCTGGTACCTACATTACCGCACCCTTGGGTGCCACCAAGCATCCTCACCCTCCTCTTTGCATCCCTGGCAGTGTTGCCCACCCATCACCTCCTGTTCATCATCCTTCTCCTGCATGGGACTGGCAGGACCCTCCTGCTCCATGCCCTTACACACAGAAAGGGCACAAAAGCACCCACACACGGCACCAGCACCCAGCCACGCGTGACAAAGCAAACAGCCAGATGTTCCCTAAATAGCTTTTCTCACAAGCAGCAGCAGCAGCTCTTTAATGAGGCCCTTGCCCTTCCCAGAGACAACTCACAGTTCCCAGGTGCAGGAAGGATTTGCTCGTCTGCTACAGACTATTAATTACCATGTTTGTCAGGATAAACAACCAGCCTTAATTATTATAGTCCTAAATATAGAGCAAACAACGTGTCTATCTTGAGTGCAGTTCAATTTCCTTCCTGTCTCCAGTAGCTCTTGGGGCCAGGCCGGGCAAAAAACCCACTGCCCCTGCCCCAGAGAGGGTCTGCACCTCAGGGCAGCCGTGGGTGGGAAACACATCTCACTCCCCATGTGCAGGAAACATCAGGTTTGCTCATTTTACCAAGAGAGAGACAGAAAGGTGCTTCTCACCCCTCTGCCCTCTCCCAGCCGAGCTCCTGGGGCTGCCCAGCAAAGGAGCATCAGTCTCTGGGTGCTTGGCTGGGCTGGCAGGACTCAAAATCGTGCCCAGTCTGTAGCCAGGACCCCTCTGCCGCAGGGGGGATTTCACAGGAGCAAGGCTTGGCGCTTGCTGCTGCCCTAAAAAACACACACTGCCGGCTTATAAATGAAACAGTCGCTGACGGCGCTCGCCTGAGCCCTGGCAGAGTAACGGCAATTTGTGTTCCTGCCTGCAAAGCACGTGTCCTCTGCCACCAGGAAGGGACAAAGAGGATGCACCCTTCAGCCACCCACCCATAACACCAATATTTGGGTGTCTGGTCACACCTCTCCCACCTCCTCGCCTCTCCTGCTTCCCAAGGCGGAGGATAAGCCATGCTGGGGGACAGGGCACAGGGTGGCTTCTGGCATCAAACCATCTGGAAGCTCAGTGAAGACCAAAGTGGCCAAGTCACCCTTTGCACAACCTTCAACATCATTTTCACAAACAAGGGTGCAGAAGGAAGACAAGGCAGGAGGTTGGACAGCCCCTTCTTGCTCTTCTATTCCTTAATTACCCTAAAAAGCAGATCCTGACAAAGCTGAAGCCATCAGCAAGCCATGTAGGCAGGGAAGGGGTCTGGGGAAAAGCTTGGTTATTTGCAGCTCCGCTCTGAGCGGCCAGGAAGCTGAAGAGAAAAAAAACCAAAACACAAAACAAAACAATTTGTAATTACGTGCTGGGAAAATTGAACAGCAGGAAGCAGGCGGTTAACATCATTCTGCACAAGACAAAGAGGAGATGGACAGAAATACAGATCCAATTTTTAGAGGTCACTCAGAGCGCTTTTAAAGGAGCTTAATTGTATTTCTAATGAAGCGGGAGGCAGCAGCCTCCATTACCTGGACTAGCACAGCCCTGACGTTGGCTTTTATACTCAGGCACCCGCAGGGGAGCAAACAGCTGCCCCCGCGCTCTCCAAACACCCCGGCTCCAATCCTGCAGCACCACCCGCCGCGGGATGGAGAGGCTGCTCGCCCGGCTGGCAGAGCTGCAAATTAAACCTCATTAAGAGAATGATTTGGTCTATTTAGGAAATGTTCCCGGTGGCAGGTGACAGCGGCGTGACAGGGAGCTGAAGGCCAGATGCAATGAGGCTGTGTGGAGAAGGCCATTATTGCTGCAGTGGGATGCAGGAGGGACGTGGTGATGCTCAAACCATGGTAGAAGCCACCCACGGGTCCAGCATCACCCGCTGTGCCCACACAACCTCTGTCCTGCCCTCAGCACCGGCCCCTGTGCCCCAGGGGACACACTGAGCAGGGGACAGAGGTGGGAAAACACTGTTTGGTTGTTCCAAACAGTTCCACCAGTTTCTCCTCTTCAGGCAGCAGCTCCTGCAGCCAACAACTTTCCCTTCTCCACAGTCAGCTGTAAAACAACTGGTGGCTGACAGCCCAGCAGCTCCAGTCATGGGAACTCCACATCGAACGTATCTGGGGGTGTGTGGTGACACTGCCCAGGTCCCTGATTTAGCTCTGGTATGCAGGACAGCCCACAGCTGCAGCAAGAGTTATAGTTCTTGGCTTGCAGCAAGGAGGCTGGGATGGGAAAAGCACCTTGTGTTTCCCTGAGGTTCAGCAAGGGTGAAGTTCCACCAATCCCACCCCAGCTGAGGGTACCAGCCTGGGGACACTGTCCCCTCCCACCAGCCTCAGAGCAGCTTCAGAAGCAGGAGATGTTGCAACCACAGTAATCCGGAGCAAAACCAGAGTTAACCCTTCGCAGAGGGGAGACGGCAGCAGATGGACAATCTGCCGGAAAGCCCTGACAGCCCACAGCTGCTCTCGGTTCAGCTTTTCCATCTCTGTTATCTCCTGTTCCCCTTCCAAGGGAGGGATCCTCAGGGACCAAACTCCTCAGGATTTCAGATGGGAAGCATTGCATGACCTGCTCACTCTCACCACAGTGGATGGCTCCAGCACTGGGGCGGCAGCTGAGCCCGGCAGCCCCAGCACCGCAGCGGCAGTAACCAGATCCCCGAGTTACACAAGTGTCCCCAGGACAGGGCACAAGGACAGCGCTGCAGAGGGGACAGCCACCACCTCTGAGCAAAACCAGGTTTCATGCATAGAAGAGTCGCGTGAGCTTCCTTTTACAGCAGCTTTAAGTGCTTTAGGTGTCAGCTTTGCAGCCACACAGGTCTCCAAACCTCCTCTCATCATCAGAGAGCATCTCTGTGTCCAGGAATCCCTTTGACACTGTGTGGTACAGGGGACAACCA